GTTGACAGGAGAGTATACGGTGGGATCAACGTGCGCTACTTTTAGTCGGTCGACACTGACGGTATCTTGAACACCTCACGGATTGATACACAGGATGGAGGCTTTTGCCCAAGTTTCCCTGGTCGGTTTTGTTCTTGTCGGTCAGTGGCTGTCAGAAGGAGCGTGTACAACCGTCGGAGGAAGGTCATTCCACGCAGCTACTACCCGAAATGAAAAAAGTTTTGTCTAATGAATGTGTGTGGCCTCCCTCGTCGATGACGAAATACCGCGAAATAACGCGGTATGGGCCGACGTACGGTGACTGTAACGGTTTCTTCACCTGATCAACCCTAACGAAAACGAAGTCACAATATTTTAGCACCGGGGAAATTTGTGATGCACGAGTATGTAAACGCGTTGGTTGAGCTCTAAGATGTTTCACAAAGGAGCGTAAACGATTGACATACATTGTTGGGTCTATTCTTACTGTTTACTTTCTCTCAGCAACAAACTCTCCAGGGAGTCGGAGAGGGCTGCCTCAAACCATTTCGGCGGTCGAACAGCCTAAGTCTTCTTTCACTGCAGATCGGATCCCAAGAGTATGAGCGGGTGATGCTTTGTCCAATTTTGAGGATTACCGTGAGCAATCAATGCTGCCTTCAGCTGCCGATGGAAACGATCGACTAAACCGTTGGCACACAGGTGGTAAGCTGTAGTGTGGATGTGCGTTGAGCCAAGGAGTCGGCTGAGGTCTCGAAAGAGCGAAGACTGGAACTGTGGACCGCGTTCCGTAGTGATTGTTGTTGGTGCTCCGTAATGGGCAATCCATGACTCGAGAAAAGCTTGAGCCACAGTTTCGGAGTGTTTGTCTTTGATCGGCACGGCGATAGGCCAGCGTGTAAAACGATCAATGCGTGTGAAAACATACGAGAAATTGTGTGACGGAGGCCACGGGCCAACAAGGTCTGTGCGAACATGACTGAACCGACTATCAGGGCTGGAAGAATGACCGAGAGGAGTAACAGTATGTCGATGGAGTTTGCTCTTTTGGCACGCAATACATTTACGAGCCCACCTAGTGATGTCTTTATTCATATTAGGCTACACGAACCTATCGCTGACAAGCTTCCGAGTTGCTCGGATACCCGGATGCGACAAATTATGTAACTGATTGAAAATCACCCAACGGAGCGAAGTAGGTACAAGTGGTCTGGGAAAACCTGTGGAGACGTCGCACGTGATACTTTCGGTTAAATTGGATATAGGAAGTTGTTGTAACTTTAGCGACAGAATAGAAGACTGCACAAGTTCAGTATCACTCTTTTGATGTACAGCCAGCTCAGATAAGGGAAACTCCGTAAAGCCTAAAGT